GCCGGCAGCGGGGCCGGCGCCGGCGGGGTGGGAGCGGCAGCCTGGGCAGAGCCGCTCGGGGCCTGCAGCACCTGGGGCTGCGCCTGCAGCACTTGCTGCTGAGCGGAGGAATCCGAGTCGCTCTCATTGTCCTGGGGGCTGGGGATGCTGGGGGACGTGCTGCGGTTGTCCTGGTCGATGTCCTTGGGGTCGCTGCTCCCCTCGTCGTTGACGCTGCGGCTGTCGGAGCTCTCGCCTTCGCCCTCGCCCTCCGAGGGGGAGTTGGGCCTGCTGATCTCCTGTGGGGAGAGGCAACAGTGACCACTGTGCCTGAGAAAAGCACACCAGGACATTCCCGCTGTGCCACAGGATGGGCTCTGACACACGTGCTGTGCAGGTACCCTTTGACCCTCCTGGGGCCCAAACCAGGAACACGAATATCCAAGGGAAGTGCAAAGACACTGGAATTCCCAGGTCCCCCAGGATCCTTCCACAGCACCCAGGGGCAACTGAAATACTGAACATAGCAAAACAGTTCTTCACTATGAGGGTGACCAGCAATGGAAAAGATTTGTCTTGTGACAGCTCCAATGGTGGTCCTTCTAACTTGTCACAGAAGACAAGAACCCAAATTTAAGTTAAAGAAAAAATGGAGGAAAGCAGTGGAGAACAATCCAGTGTACTCCTATACGGTTGATATTAATATTAAAACAAAGAAAAAACCCCAACTTCTGGACTTACTCCTTATCACTCCACTGTTTCCAGCAGAAGGAACACATTATAACATTGGTTGCTTTCCAGCCACAGATTATGTTACAATTTGCTGTGGCTTAAATTGATTTAATGTTTTCAGTTTGTTACCAGATTTGCACCCCCTCCCCACCTCAAACCACTCTCCTAAGAGGAAATACTCCTCTGTGGGACTCACTTGAGTTTTGGATTTTTTGGCATTGGACCTGTCAGGTTCTTCCGTGTCAGATGCTGCCTTTTCCCGCTGCCTCTTGGAGTTCTTGAGAGGAGAAGACACCTCTTCTTTTATCTTCTGCCACAAAGGAAGCAGAACAGTTACCAGTGGTGTAAATGCAAAAGTAAATTGAGTGTAGGCCAGTGCCACCCTATTTAACACAAATTAAGGAGCAGCAGAACTCAGGAGTTGACATAGTACTTAAGAGCAATCCGATACACATCCAGCTGGTAGGAAAAAGGAAAAGTGCATAAAGCATTTCTCATATGAAGAGAAATTTTAAACAGAACTGGGCAGGACCAAGTCCACCAGGAACTCACAACAGATCAACTGGCCCAGGTCACCCTTCTAACAGAGACCAACACCAGTTATTAACTGGTGCAAGATGGAGCCAGAATTTCTGCAGGAGACAGGATAAGCCTCTTTCTGCTACACTAAAGTCTTGCTCTACACTCTTGGTATTTTGAGAGGAATATTTTTAGATCCCCTCAAATACAGGGCCAACAGTGAATTGCTATTCTGAGATTACTACCTTTTCCCATGGCCTGGAAAAGCTCTGTGCATCGCATAATTACCTAACTTCAAATTCTGCCAAGTTTTCAGTTTTATAATGTGAAAATTTGCTCCATACTCTTTTTTTTTTTTTTTTTATGATTTTTTTTAACTTGCTACTTCTCAATTTACACTGCTTAATGGTAAGTCTTCCTGCTTCATGTGGCTTTGTTTCTTTAGAACTCTCTTGGAAAGGCACTTAATTCATCTGAACAGACTCAACTGTCAGCTTGCTCTGAACAATCAAGCAAACACACCTCCAGAAAAACAGTAGCAGAAGCAGACTCAATTACTAAATGTTCATACTCCTTTGTAAACAAAGATTAAGTACTACTTACAAAAAATCCCCAAAACTGTCTACTTGTCTTAAATACAGCATTTCTGATCTGCATTAGTCCCCTGAGCTCTGTGCTTGCATTTGCATGTGAAATGGAGGGATTACTTGTGAGAGCAGTGAGGTTATGTGGGGCTACCAGAGCGGTTTGATTGCTCCCATCCCTCCCTGGCCTGGCACAAAGCAGCTCTCGGCTGCACCACTCCACCTCTGCCCTACTGGCACTGCCAGGGAGCCTCCTGTGACCTCCTGTAGCTGCCCAGGAGAGCCCAGAGGGGAGGGGGTTACCTTGGTGGATTTCTTCACCGACTCGGCCTTGCTGTCGTTGCTGGAGGTGCTGGCGGCGCTGGGCGAGTTGCGGCCGCTGGAGCGCACGTCCTCGGCGATGGGGGAGGCCCGGCCATCGGGGCTGGCTGCCTGCTTCTTCCTGCCACTGCGTAGGGTCGACATCTGGGGCAAAACACACCCAGCTCAGCACTGCCCAGCCCCTCCGAGTGCTCTGCCAGGCAGGGGCACGGAGAACAGCCCCCTGGCAGAGCCTGCGAGCAAAAACCCCAGAGCATTTCACCGTGCTACGCTTCTTCCTTCAAAGCTCAACTGGACTCAAAATGTAAAAGGAGGCAAATCCTTGATCTGTGTACTCACAAACACTAAGTGCTGGTTATTTAATTAGCAGGGTCTGTTAGAAATGGCATTTAGGAAGATGCTCCAATACCCAGCACACACACACAAGGGTGCACGAGGCAGGAGAGGACTCCCATGTTCCATTAAAATCTTCCATCTGTTGGCAGACAAGGCAACGGGCTAAACCCCCAGCTCCAGCGTGCTCCTGCTGTTATGTAAGGGATCTGTAGAGTACATTTCAATAACTGATGCTGTTTTCCTGCCATTTTGGCAGTTTTTTTGGAGGACTGGCTACCAAAAAAGCAATGGAGCCAACTCCAAGAGTGGAGCCTCATGAGATATTTAGAATCCATGGACACATCATCCTCTTCAGAAAGACAGAGGGGGAGGGCAAGGAAAGACCTCTATCTGCTGCTTTCTATCAGCTAAATCCAGCTCCAAGAGAAATCACCCAGAGCTGCTGCCAGAGCCCTCCCAAGTGCCACGGCCCAAGGAAGGCTCCTGGTGCCTCACCCGAGTAACAACTCAGAGCACACCAAGCACAGAGCCAAAGCTGAGCTCTCGGTAGGGAAGAGACTTTAACTCCTGTAACATGAGGAGGCCACATGAACAGCATCTAACTTTTTTCAGCTCCTCCCAAGGGCGTAGCTCTGACAGGATACAGCTGGAAGGAGGACATGTACTAGCACAGGATCTGTAATGCACTGCCAATGCCCCCTGTGATGACAGCCCACTGCCATTCATTATAGAGAAATAACACAGCTTGCAGGGACATTCCATCTCCTTTCTCCAGAGAAGCCTCAGCCTCAGCAAAGCTCCCCTGGCACACACCAATGCAGCAGGAGCAGGCACAGCCCATGGCAAACCAGCCACTTCAGGGCTCTGGCTCCTTTTACCCCCTGCATTGGAGGGTGGAACCCACCGAGCCTCGACTCCGCCGTGTCCTCATGCTATGCTTCCCACTGAGGCCATCATCTTCCTCTTTCACAGGCTTGAACATAAAGGGTGGGGGGTCCACGGGCTTCTCGATGGGCGGCAGCTCCCCGTATTTCTTGAAGTGAATGCGACAGTCCGTGCACAGCAGAATGTTCTCTCGGCCGCCGTGGTGCCAGTCCTTGGAGGCTTGGGGCAGGAAAGCAACAGCTCAGCAACTCACAGAGCACCCCAGCCCCACACAAACACAGGGAATGGTGAAAAAAGGGTACAGCTACAAAAACTGCTGCTTTTCTATGGGTAACAAAGTTGGAGAAGGCTCTGGAAAACTTTGTCCTGTCCCAGTGCACATCCTCAATATTCAATTTACAAACTGTGGTTGTTTGCTTAAGAAACTACAGCTTTGAGGTACAGAAAGAAGCCTTATCTGCTCTACCTGGGAGCTAACAAGCAGCTGTTGTTCTCCAAAGCTGTGGTTTCTGCAAAAGAAGCGAGCTCTGAACCTCTTATTTCCTTCCCCATTCTGGGGCTCCCACTTCCATCTGCAAATGCCCCAACATCAGGCAACCTTCAGGAACAGCCACAGGGACGGGGCTGATGCACAGGAGATTTGGTGCAGCATCAGGAAGTTTGGTGTGTGACAGTCACAGCCCAACACCAATTCATTATGTCACAAATTGATTACATAGATTATGGATTATGCAGATTTATTCCTGTCTAAATGTCTACCTCAGGGTCCTCCTTTGTCACTGCAGTATTAATTTGCAATGGCAAAGCCTGATTAACCCTGTTAGGAACGCTGCATATTTTAGCTGATTCACCCCCACACTGCTGTGAACAGCTGTACCAGCACAGGAGCTGCTCCTGCTGGCTGCAGCCTCCCCCCAGGCAGCAGCACAGGGAGAACCAGCAGGGACTGGGACGTACTGGTGGTGAAGCAGTGGCGGCAGGCGTAGCCCTTCAGCTCCTGCTCGCTGTCCTCGCTGTCAAAGTCATCTTCACTGGCCGAGCTCAGGTCCACTGAGGGTGGGAGAAAGAGGAAAGTGGAAAATAAACACTCAGCAGCATTTTCTATTTCCTCCTACTTGTCTGAAATAAGCATTAAGTAAAATAGATCGTGACTCCCTACGCCCACCCTGCCTCACACAGCCATCGTTTCTGATTTTTCACACTGAGCAAAACCAGGCCCCATGCCTCTGCAGGTTAAGGGAGGATTCCAGGAAATGTGCAAGGGATACAACTCCTGGAACCTCAGATTCAGCACGTGGTGCATTTCCAGGTAAACTGTCATTCAAATACCATCCATGGGGAGTTCAAGAGGCTGTGTTCCAAACCCACAATTTCCAAGAGAAAAGGGGTTTCTCTCTAGAATCTGGTCAAATTTAAAATCAGATATTCTGTATTTAAAACCTACAAGACTCCATGAACAGGTCCTGTAGCAGCTTGTCTGTTTTTATTTTGTTACCCAGCAGTAGAGGTGTTTGTGGGTGGAGGAATCAATGCTTACCTACAATGGACCTGATTGGAAAACACTGTGATTCTTTTGGATGAGAGGTACTAAAGGATAACTAACAGCAGCTTTCCTGCCCTTGCTGCAAGGCTCAAACTTTTAACCTGTGGCAAACTCATACTGCAAAAATGTCATGTTTTGAAGAAGAGGATATGCAAAGGGTCCCTTTCCTTTGTGGCAAATTAGCTGATTACAGATCTGTGAGCTCAAAAGCAGCATCTAAACTGCTCAAAATATGCAGACATCACAAAAGCTGTATCTTACCTTCTAAACACCTCAGGAGGAAATATTTCCCTTTTGAGAGCACTGCATTTTTCTAGTCCCACCACTATAAATTCACAACATAACAGGGCTATAATTTGGCACAAGCAGGAAGCCCTCTGGCTTCTTCTGTTCAAATCTGTTCAAATCTTTAATTAGAAGAGAAGGCCTTGATGCAGGAACACTTTTTCTAAAGGCTCCAAGAGGATGTTTTATACATGCAGGTTACAGTTTATGGATTAAAGCTTACAGATTCTCCAGTACTTGCCATCAGCATTTGTCAGCAACTTGTTACCCTTCAAATTAACACAGGGTTACATTTAATAGCTACCACTGCTGTAATTCCTACATTAATACTTGCAGGTGTTCAAACCCTGACTGCAGAGCTGACCCCAGGCTAGCAGTTGCTTTCTTTTGCTAAATGAATTTTTATTCTCATCCTGCAGTCAGATCCATAAGGATGGGTCCTCCCAGCCACAAGCTCTCACACACTGAGTATCTTGGATTGAGCTGTGGAGTCCAGATCCTCACTCCTTGTGCACACAGAGATCAGCACTAAATCCTACCAGCTCAGCAGGGAAAAGCTCCTGGCCCTTTCCTGCCCCCTCCCTTCTACCCTGGACAGAATTCTGTGTCCTGCCTGCTCACCACATCCTCCACCTGCCCACCTTCATTTCTACATCTGCCAATCTGCCTTCCACAGCCCCTCTTCTCTACAAGGCATGTGGCTTTAGAAAGACTTAACCCTCACAGGGTAACAAACCTTTCCCACATGGACAAAGGCTTCTGCCCCCATATGGACTCTGTGCAGTGCAGCACAGCACTGCTTTAGAACTGCTCCTGCTTTAGACACTTCTGCTCCAGTCAAGGCCAATATTCCTCCAAGACCCCCTAGGACAGTGCTGAGCTCCAGCAGAAGGTTGGGGTCACCCAGAAGGATGGAAGGGACTTCCTTCCAAAGGCACGGAGGCCTGCCTGCCTTCCTTCCTTCTGTGTTCTCCAATTCCCATTACTGTAATAAGCCTGGAGAAAATACAACACAACACCAAGAAAAAGAGCAGGGAAATTCAATCCCAGGGCAGTATTTCCATCCTTACAGGATGCTTTTACGTTTAAGGACTGCACAAAGCACTGATCAAAGCCACCTTCCACATTCCAGCAGAACGGGGCAGGAACGGAGAGGGCAGCTGCCTGAACTGCGTTTCCTTGCCGTGCCCCCGTTCCAGGGCTGCTGCTCCCTCATCTGCACGGATCTAAGTGCCCAGCTCCCAGGCTGCACTCACAGAACTCGCTGGAGGGGGGTCTGGAGGGGGTGTTGACCGGCGTGGAGGCCGTGCGGGTTTTGATCCTGCGGAACACGGCCTGGCGCCGGTGCCGCCGGTGCGCGCGCGAGCTCGCCGCCTCAGGGGTCTTCTTCCAGTAGTAATAGAAGGTGATCAGCTCTCCCTGCAAACACAGAACACGCATCTTAGAGGGACATGCAAACCTGGCTCGTCAGCTTTCTGCCTCCCCTGGCTCTCTGCATGCACAAAGAGATTTTTCCAGGAAGAATCGTGATGCATTTCAGCCAGAAAAATAACTATTTAGGTAAGACACATAAAAAACCCTCTCATTATTTTTTGCTTGCTTTTGCAGAGGAGGAAAATAAGTAAATAAATGTTTTTTCACTCCTCTCCTAGGAAAGGAAAGAGGTTGGGAAGCACCAGGAGCCAGCCTCCACCTGGATGCTGCTGGTGGGCAGTGCTTCGGAAGAGGGTGCCCTTGTGTTACTGTCAGCATCCTCTGACACCTCTGCTGAGCTCTGACATCCACCCCAAACCTACCACAGCTCCTGCTGTCCACACACAGAACAGGCCTCAGCCCAAGCACACTCTGCCATTTTGTCAACCAACATTCCACCGACAGGTATTGCTCAATATTCCCGTGTAAGGAGCTGGAAGTTTGAGCAAAAACACGTCCAACAACAAGTCTATAACCGTAACACAGCCCTACCACACTAAATCGTGTTTTAATTTGAATATATATACCCACATCTAAATTAATTAAGCAGTTAAAAGAGCACACCTAGAGAAATGAGTGATAATTTCACAGCATAATGAATCTGGCTTACATTCAGGAAGTGCAGCAGCTGCCATTCAAACCTGCGGATGCGACGCTGAACCAAAGAACAGCATGTGGTTTTAATCTCTTTTCTCTTACTTTGAAACCCCATCATTTCCTGGCGACTTGTCTGCCTCTAAGGTAAAAGGTGTTGTTGCTTTCAAGTTGCAAGAGAAAAACGGAGAAGTTCTAACCAGCCCCTTGAAAAAAATCAACATCAGAACAAACATACCTGAATTGCCCACAAAAAGGGTTTCTTTGAACTGTGTTTTATGTGATCAAATAACCTCAGCCTGCTGCCTCGGAGGGGAAATCCTGCAGCCCCTGCTCCGGGCAGAGCAGGAGTTAACTCCAGCAACGACCCAGCCTCAATCCAAACCCTCCCCAGGGCCCCAAACAAGCAATTACAGCCGCAACCAATACCTGCACCACTGAAACACTCCAAAGACAAAGGGAGGATGTTGTTCTAGACATTAACTGCTGACATTTAAGACACTTAAGAATTTTACCAGTGCCTAATTTAAAAATAGAAACCCCAGAAGAAAGAACATGACCACAACGGTGCTTTCAGGCATCAGGCAGAACAGATCATTTTAATCTGTGCTGCCACAGACTGGGCTGCTGATCCCCACCATGGACCTGAACTATGTTTGTGTATTACATATTAAAATAACACATATTCAAGAGTGATGGTTGGTGAGGAGGAGCAAGTGGGGAAAACGTTACCTGCAATTCTTGATTCTGAAGGACGAAAGCCCTACTGAAAATATTAAAAATGTGTTTGTTTCCTGCAGAGAATCTGGAGCTGGCTGGTGATGAGCACACAAGCCACGGCAAACTGGGCAGGAGTTCTGAGCCCAGCACACTGCTCTGCTCCTGCCTGCTCCCTGCACATGTTTGCTTTAGAAATGCCATTTCCTTGAGCCCCTTAAGTGGGCTCAAAGTCCACCCAGGCCAGCTGTTTGTCCACTTGGGGACATGGCTGTGCAAGGAGCCAGGCTGGGCTCTGCAGGGAGGCTTTTGCGATGTTCTGCATGGGCAGAAAGTCTCTTGCAAATGAAACCTTTCATTTTTTACCTATAAATTAATTTGTATCAAATCTGAGGTGTCAGCACCAAGGAGCAAGTCAGTAAATCCCATGTCTTTATGTCAGTGAATTAATGTGTCCTCTGACACATGGCAACAGCAGAGTACAAACCAATCTGTTCTCCACCCGTCATAAAACAGGGAATGGGAACCTATTAGAGCTCCATTTACACATTGCAAAGCCATCGGGTCCCAAGAGAAGTTTAACAACTTATACATGCAGATCATAAACCAAACTTTAAAAAAGAAATGGTGGATATTTATAGAAAATGCCAACATCATGACCATAATGCTTTTTTTCCCACTGAGACTCTCTCAGAAGTGCAGTCACAACTGCAACGAATAAAGATGAAGTCAAAGGCTATTTATTCAACAACCAGTTTTACCCCAGCTACGAAATCCAGACAGATTGAAGACCTGAAGAATATTCTGTACTTGCAGTTCACGGTCAGACTGCACAAGTGCAGCACTCAGTTCAGGGCTCCGGGAGAAAGAGGGAAGGCAGAGGGGGAGCACACACAGAAGGCAGCGTTACACAGGTACCCCACTCCAAGAATCCCACACAAGATCTCCTCGGGCACCTGAACCCCCGGGATGGCACTGCCTGCCCGAGGATGAGCTTCAGGATGGGCTCAGCCTGGCAGCATCAGAGCCACCAGCCTGGCGGCTGCATGGGTGGCACAAGCCCGAGCACAAAGGACTAAGTCAGGCAAGCTTTGGTTCCCCAAACAGGGAGCAAAAACAGCTTCCAAGGAAGTCAAATGAGCTTTAATCAAACATGCACAGTGCGTGCTGCTGAAAGCCGGGGCACATAAATTCAGGAACAAAAGCTGCTGCAGAAATCAATAGCCTCCTGAAACATTAACACAGGCCAGCATTGATCAAAGGCCCTGGGACAAAAGGCTGCCTTGCAAATTAGCTGCTGGTTTTGCTTGCAAGCAAACAGAGAGGCATGAACGCTGTGACATGAATGGCCTGTAATGATCGTTTTGTTCCTGTGATCTCACCTCACCTCACCACAAGGTCTCGCAGTCAGCACATCCCACATCCCTGAGCTGCCCTGCCAGCCCGGGGAGGCCTGGGCCAGCTGCTCCAAAGCTCTTTTTGTGGGTACCAGAGCATCATCGGGGCCAGGCCGGCCCTGCCAACAGCCTGTCCTCTCCTCTGGGTGCTCTGTGCAGGCTGGCTATTGCTACAACACACAATAAAGGCGAGTTAAAACATCCTGAGCCATCCCTCGTGTGCTGAGCTGGCCCAGCTCAGGGGGGAGTGCCACTCCTCTAATGAGATATAACTTATGCCTTAATTGAGAAGGGTGAAACCTCTAGGGTGATTGTAATGTGCCACATTCACAGAAGATGCCCTCCCAAACTGACTCCAAGGCCCAGCTTCTTCTTTTCCACTGGTGTGGGGAGAAGATTCCTTTCCCTTCCAGGACTCGGCTCCCTTCCTGCTCACAGCAGCCTCACCTCCACTTGAGACACCAGCGCCTCTTGTTTCCTGCACACACAACTCCACATTTCCACATTAACATCTGAGTATCTGTCCCAAACACACACAAAGCAAAATGAGAAGCATTATTCAGGCTTTCAGTGCCACATTTCCCTGAGAACACCGACATTCCCAAGTTTCACAAGGCAGAGGGGACTATGTTCCTCACTAAAAACACCAGTTCAGCTTTCACCAATTCTGAAATGCATCCTGAGCTCACGACTCAAGTCTCCTGCCTCCTCCTGCCAAGGCCACTTCACCCCACGTTGTAGGTGCAGATAAAAAAGTCACACTTCATCTCCTTTCAGCTCGGTCCTGCAGATTATTTTTGCAGAGAAGGCTCAGGTTCCCCTTGCAGGAGCTCACAGTGGGGAGGTTTCTCTGCCATTCCCAGCTCTCTAAGCCAGCCCTGCTGCTGGGACAGGGGACTGTCCTTGCCAGGGGCACCTCTCACCTGCCCACTCTCACCTGGGTGTTCTTGCAGCTCAAGCCTTCCCCCAGGTACATCACCCCACCAGAGCAGCCCCTCTACCCGCACACCCTCAGCAAGCCCTGCTCTCCTTATCTTGTCTACTTGTACAGTTTTCAAATGTAAAATCCCCAAGCCAGCTGTGCCCCGTGTTTGTGTTTAGTCTTGCCCTGGGTAAACAAAGGATTAAGGCTGGGTGTGCATCCTCGGCCGGGAAGGTTCTGACAGCCCTGCAGCAGCACAGCTCCTGTGCAAGCCAATCACACACACACATCAACTTCCCTTCAAGTATCTGTTAGGGTATAACACAGTGAGCAAACACAATAATTGCTGTTTAATTTCCCCAGAGCCGAGCTCTGCCAGGGAAAAAAAACATCATGGGGGAGGGGAATAGCTTTGCAGTAATGAAAGAGAAAAGGTAAATGACGGCACTCCTCAATGGCTGTAACCAGCCATGGCAGAGGGGAACAGATTGTCCAGCTGTGGCCTTAATGAATTCACAATCTTTCTGGAATGCTTCAAGATTTTATTAAGTCAACTCAAGTTAGCTAATACTCTTGTAAAGTCCTGCAGCAAAGCCAGTCTCCAGTGCTTCCCTTCTCCACTGGATCCCCTGGCACAGGCTGGGTCCCAGCACCTGCTCCAGGGCAGGATCAGGAGCACGGGTTTGGATCAAGGCATGTGTGAACACACCCCCAGTACAGAGCAGGGTCAGTCCGGCTGCTCAAGCTTCACAGGATAACCTGGGGTATCGCCAGGCACTGAGGGGAGACAGAACTGAAAATATCCATCCCTTCCATCTCCCAGCCCAGAGCTGCAAACAGAAGGGGCTGCCCAGGGCAGGGCTGGAATCCCCATCCCTGCAGGTGCTCCCCAGACAGGTGCATGTGGCACTTGGGGACACACCTCGGTGGGGACCGCAGCAGGGCTGGGCTAAAGCTCAGACTCCGTGATCCTGGAGGGCTTTTCCAGCCTTACTGACCCTATGGCTGGTTCTTCTTATGAATCCATAGCCAGAGAGAGAAAAGCTGGAACTCTTGCCTTGCTCTCAGCAAGCTGAAGGGCTGCACACACGCAGCAGGGCCGAGAGGAGCAGCTGTGTGCAGCTCCACAGCCAAACTGGGCCATGGCTCCAGCGTGAAGCTCGGGCTCCGTGCCTCTGCCAGCCATGACAAATAGGTTTGCACATGCTCTAATTAAGCAGTAAGTCTCAGCAGCTTGTTCAGTAGCACTGATTAATGTCCACCTTGGGTGCACAGGAATCCTGCATATTCAAACACATTACTGAGGTTTTAAGAGA